TATATAAATGTTTCTGTTAACTTATTTTATATATAAATGTTTCTGTTCAGTGCCCTGACACAACTTGATTTGGTGCTGTAGAAACAAACTGAATTGAATTGAATTTATACAAAAATGAAACAACACAAGCAACTTGAAAGTTCCAGGAGAAATTTTGATGGGGACTGCCACATGGTGGCCATTTAAAATGTTTCATTTTACTGTACTCTGTGTTGAGGTTCGCTCTCAGCGACCACCATAGCAAATTTCACCTCAATTTCTCAAATAATGACTGAGAGGGCCACTTGCATCATGAAGGACCCTACAATCGTACCTTACCCTACAATCGATGGATTTAATATCTATCGCTATGATCGTTAAAAGGGGGGGCGGGTGTCACTATTTACATCAGAGATAACCCGGACTGTAGTCTTGTCTGCCTAAACAATCCCAAACCAATTTGAGGCCTTCGCTGTAAACATCACTTTGAATGGAGGCCTGATCTTTTTTCATTCATTCAGCTTTTATTTAGACAGGTTAATCCCGTTGAGCCTCGAGGACTCATTTACAAGAGAGACCTGGTTTCAAGAAAGAAAGATGACAACAATGGACAACAGCAACAACAATAAACAGTTATTAAAAAGGCAAACAGATTTTTTTACAAATAAGATGCAAAAAAAGTAACAAAAACAGCTAGATTACAAGGTGAATGTAGAAAAGTAAAAACAGGAACATGTCTGCATTGGTTTTTGCCAGGAGTCCCAACAGATTCTTAAAGCCACTTAGAGAGGTCAAAGGTCGAGAGCTTCAGGTCTTTTAGCAAGATATTCCAGGAAACAAGAGCGGTGTAGGAGAAGGTCCTTTTGCCAAGAAAAAAAAAAATCTTATCTGTAGTGGGTTGATACTGTCCCCCTTCAGCAATACCTGAGGCTCTGTCTTCTCTGAAAGTTTTCATAACTACAATTCAAAGAAGTTTTACTTGCCGGAGATTTTAACTTCAACTGGGAAAAGTCCACACCCCTCTGTGATAAATTCAAAGAATGTTGCCTGTCACTCAAGCTGACCCAACTCATTGACTCTCCCACCAGACGGAACAATAACCGTCCTGAAAACTCCTCCATCTTAGACCTATTTCTAACAAATATGCCTCACAAATTCCCCTGTATATATGTGTTTTTGCCTATATCTTAAGTGATCGTTGTGTAATAGCAGCTCTCAGAGACACTAAACTTCCACCTTCTAAGCCCAGATTAATTCAAAAAAGGGATCTGAAACATTTTTGTGAACAGTCATTCCTCTGGGATCTGTCTCACTTTGACTGACATCGTATTCTGTTAACTGATGACCTGAACTCTGCTTGGAACTATTTTCATAATAGTTTCATTTATTTCGTGAACAATCATGCTCCTTTTCATCAGTTCAGAATAAAAGGACGAGACAGCCCCTGGTTTACTCCAGAGCTATCTGACCTCCTGCACAGGAGAGATCATCTTTGGGCCACAGCGAGAAAATCTGACTCAGACACTGATTGGTTGAGTTTTCGACAGATGAGGAATAAATGCACAACTGCTGTCAAAGCAGCAAAACGCAACTATTTCTTATCTCAGACCTCCAAAAATCTAAATGACCCTAACAGATTCTGGAAAACCATCAAATCTCTCTCAGGCACCCCCCAATCATCTGACCTCCCATCACAACTTCTCGTTAACTCTGTTCCTGTGTCAAATCATCACGAGATCCTGAACTGTTTCAACAAACATTTTGTTGCTTCTGGTTCTTTATTTGACACAGTAACTAATGGAAGATCAGCCACTTCACTTAATAACCAAACTTCTACAAATCAAATCCCTCCTACAAGTCAATCCTCAGTTAATCACAGCTTCTC